TGTCTTCTCGTTGGCTACTCCGACTCGGACTTTGCTGGTTGCAAATTGGACCGCAAAAGTACAAGTGGGACTTGCCACTTACTTGGTAGCTCTTTAGTTTCATGGTTTAGCAAGAAACAAGTCAGTGTTGCGTTATCCACAACCGAAGCGGAATACGTTGCCGCCGGTAGTTGTTGTGCTCAAATCCTTTGGATGAAGCAACAACTCGTGGACTATGGCCTTAGCATCAGTCACGTTCCTCTTCGTTGTGACAATACCAGCGCCATTAGCTTGACGAAGAACCCCGTTCTTCATTCAAGGACGAAACACATTGACATTAGGCACCATTTCATTAGAGATCATGTTCTCAAAGGTGATGTCGAAATTGAGTTTGTTGAAACACACAACCAATTAGCCGACATTTTCACAAAACCTTTAGAGAAAGAGTCATTCTTCCGCATTCGTAGTGAACTCGGAATCCTTGACTCCACGATGATCTAATTTGTGTATTTTATTATTCTTTTATTATTACTGGAACGTTTACTAACTTGGGCGTCGGAGGGTTTTCTAACTCTTTTTTGCAGGGACGGTTCGAAGTGAAGAATTTTGGAAATCAGGGGGAACCAGCGATGGGTAGGCCATACCATCGCTGGGAGGGAAGTGTTTTTTTTCTGAACCCCTCTTCCCATCGATGGGCACTTCTTCCCATCGATGGGTACTTGACTCTATTTTTTTAAAAATACTTAACGGATTTTCAGAAAACCCCAACCCATCGATGGGTAGTTTATCCCATCGCTGGGTGAAGGACTTCTTTCAAAAAATCTTCCAGAACCCCCCATCCCATCGATGGTAACTTTCTCCCATCGATGAGTGTTTGACACTATTTTTTTAAAGCTTTTTATCGGATTTCCAGTAGCCACCCTCCCATCGATGGGTGAGTTTGACCATCGATGGGAAGGCAGCCTCGTCTTCTTCTCGCCTTCCAGTAGCGACCCTCCCATCGATGGGAACGTCCTTACCATCGATGGGAAGGCAGTTGAAATTCAAAAATTATGGCCGTTGGGCACCGAAATTAATGCCCAACAGCCATATTTTTTGAATTCACACAGTTTAAGCTTCCTCCCCCTATATATTCACATCATCTCTCACATTTTTAACACACAATTAACAACACTTTCTCATTCCTTTAGCAAATTTCACCCTTTCCATCACTTTTTGGTAAGAAACGCTATCATGGCCGGAGGAAAGTCCAAAAGCAAGGCATCCAAAAAGAAGACCGCCGCCGAGGCCACAAGCTCTGCGCCTCAACCCTTCCCGTACCTGGACGGATCCTTCTTGGAGTTCGGGTCGGAAGAAGAACTCACACGCTTCATCACCTACTTTGCCAAACGCCCCATCTCTCCGCCAAGAGTGCTGCCCGAGATGTACCCCCAACAGAAGGGTTACTACGACCTTGACAATCAACTCACGGAGTCGGGTCTGTGGCCTTTCGTCTCCCGAAGCCGTCAATCCTTCAATCCCGCCTACGTTCGGGCCTTCTACTCCAATCTCCGCCGGGACGGGGACACGATTCGCAGCAGCATCAATGTCGTGGACTTCGAGTTTGATTTGGCTCTCCTTGCTAGGGTCGCAGGGCTGCTTACCCGCGGTGACGACATCGCGTCATACGGAGGCAACGATTGGATCCTCAACAACGAGGCCGTCGTCATTCGTGAGCTCGGGATCACCAACTTGATCCGTCACAGCGGCGCACCGACGATTCACTCGGCCCCACCGGAGAAGCGCCTCCTCCTCTACATCATCACCCGGATTCTTCGCCCTCGGGACAGTAGCCACACCAGTCTCTCCAACGAAGATCTCAAGGTCGTGCACGCTATCATCCATGGCGCCTCAATCAATTGGGCAAAATACGTCATGATTCACATGACGGATTGCGCCTCAATCGCCACCGAAAGAAGCTTGCCATACGCCTTCCTTGTCATGGACCTCATCGTCTCCGCCGACATCCACATCGCCGGGCCGGACACGAAGATGACAAAACTGTGGATCATCCAAGACAGCACCTTCCGGAAGAAGTCCGGTGACGAAACAGGCGCTGGACCGAGTCGGGCCCGTGCCCCTGCCCCTGCCCGTGCCCCCGCTCCCGCTCGGGCCTCACTGCAGTCCATAGCCGATACCCTGAATCGGCTAACCGTCACCGTGGATGGCATGGGACACTACCTGGAGAGGATGGACTGCTCGATTCAACGCCAAGGCCACGACATGCGGGCATACTTCCGCGGCATCAACTACGTCCCGCCGCCCTTTGACAGCACCTTCCTCGGCCAAAACTATGAAGGCGAGGACGAGGACGACAACTCCTATGCTCCGTCCTCCTCCCCCGACGAGGCCGACTTTGAGGACGCGGTCGACGGGGATCCCATGGACGTCGAAGACGACGAAGAAGACGAAGAAACCGAGGACGAGGACGCCGCTGCCTAGATTCTTCCTTCTTTCCCTCCTTACTACGATGTTTTTTATTATTTCCATTCTGTTGTATTCCGCATTTTCTCCTTTTAAATTAATAAAAGTTTACTTTTATACTCCAAAGTTCACTTTTAATTCTTTTTGTTAATGTCAAAAGGGGGAAGATATCAAGGTTATGCATAAATTGAGGGGGAATTATCTTTTCAAATAAATTGGCATCTATTAAGGGGGAACATTTTTTTTTTTGACGTCTCAAAGACCTCCTTATATGCATAACCTCATCTCATTTGCCATTATCAAAAAGGGGGAAATTGTTGAAACACGGGCTTGTCACGTTTTTGTACTAAAGCCGTGTTCGTTTTTGTTACAGGTTTTGATAATGCCAAACCGCCGTGAGCAAGACAAATATTGAATATACAAGGCGAAGAACGAAGATAAGAACAAGAGCTGAAAGAGACCAAGAACGAAGACCGAAGCCTTTAGATTTGTTGAGTCGGTCATAATTGTAATCAAGACCGACCCAACCCTCACGCATTGGCTCTTTAGGCTAAAACCTCTCATTGCATTTCCTTTTTCATAAAAATGTTTTTCAAACTTGTTTAAGTCTTTAAAAACACTTGGTGTTCGCCCAAACCAAAAACCAAGCCATCCGGCGTTCGGGTTTCAGAAACCGACGTTCGACTCTCGGTTATCGGCTATGGTTTTTGGCGTCCGAACCAACAAATGGTTTTCAACTTTTTATGATTGGTTTTTACTCTTTGGCATGTTTAAACAGTTCTCCAACAAAAGCACCTCGAAAAACCATCTTTCGCTTTTGGTCATTTGACAAAAATCATTCAAAACGGCATAAATTTGACTAGCCGTGTTTTTCACTCAAATGGCGTGGTTTTTAAAGTGTCTTATTTGAATTCTTAGCCAAATACATCAAATAAGTATTTTAAACACTTGGTTTTTATTTTGGAGAACTTTGAATTTTTCGGTCAGTTTTCGCATCGGTTGGCTAGGCCGTGGTTAAGGCAAAACCATGGGTTCCTGACTAAACCACCTACCCAGCGATGGGAAGATCTTCCCATCGATGGGTAAGCGGCCCCTCAGCCAAATCAGTTTCCAGAACCATGCCAAACAGCGATGGGGAGTTCCACCCATCGCTGTTAAAGCCCTGGTGCAAAATTATCACGAGGTAGAACAACCTTGCCCAGCGATGGGAGACCTATCCCATCGATGGGAACCCAGCGATGGTAAGGGTAAACCATCGATGGGAAGGCATGACCGTTGGTGGTCATTAAAGGTTGATTCTTTCCTTGTTTGGAAGTCAACCTCCCACCCAGCGATGGGAAGGTTGTACCCATCGATGGGTAGGTGACCGTTGACTTCAAAACTGAAGAAAAATTGGCCTACCAGCGATGGTTAAGTCCTAAACATCGATGGGAAGCCAATATTCTGCAGATCCCAAATCTTTTCAATCCCATAAATCAAGCTAATCACCCTTTAATGCATTGGTCCGTTGGAGCCTAATTTTGCACTATAAAAAGGGGCAT